AGTATTCGATGAAACTTATTTATATAAAAATCAATAGAAAATTAACTTTTATTATTTGTTTTTCTTCGAATTTATATTTTATAGTACGTACTCAATATAGAACAAATTAGTTTTCGTACTTGGATTTTAGAAACCTACTTTTACAATTACGTTCTTTATAATTGAAATATGAATTTTTAATTTGGTTATTCCATTAGTCTAATTAGTTTAATGGACTATTCTATCAATGAGAATTTATTATACTTTATCAATGACTTTGGTTGTTTCTATGATTATATGCATATTAAAAAACACATTACAATCAATGATTTGTTAATCAAGAAGGACGTTATATCATTATAGAAGGATATAATCTTTCTAGAATGTATTCTTACAACAGATACAATTAATCATAATTATTCTAAAATATGTTAATAATATTGATTACCAGAGGTGTCTAATATTTGTTCTTTGAATTTGCACTGCAAGTAGTTTGCATTTTGTTAGAAAAAACTAGCTGACTAATTAGCGTTCATTATCAGTGACGTTATATTGTATTTCTACCTGTTGTCAAGTAATCAAAAAACTTTATTGCATTTTTATAAAATTTTAAAATGTCTAATAACATTGAACAATTTTAGTTTACAAACAATTAAATAGAACTTGAAATGAGATAGATTGAAACACACTTTGAAAGCTATTCTTCGCGATTTTGGCAACTGGAGGTCGTGATAAAAAATTAATTATTGTTATTGGTTTTCTGACCAAAAGCAAGTTACACAGGTGAATACATCTTATTTTCATTGTTTATGTTTCATTTGTCAACTTTTTCATAGTAAAAGAAAACTTTATTTCTTTTTCCCTTAAAATTAAAATTAAAAAGTCAAACGTAACCAAAAAATAAAAAGTCGTGCTCTCTCAACATGAAATTGCCTTCAGGCTGTGACATTTATATGATAACAAAATATGTTAGCTATATTAGAGTTCATTACTCCCGTAATTTAAATTTTTATGACAAATTAAGAATATAAATATTTTTTGTATAATTTCAACATTTAATTTTTTAATCATGCGTATTTCAGATTGATAATTGTTGACATCAGCTTTTAAGCAATTAGCTTTCATGGTGTCAAGTTCACAATCGATAATTCATCATATATTTCACAATTTCAGTGATCAGTTTTGTTAATTGACTTATTTAGATTTAGATCACCTGCTTGAAATTTTTCTATGACTTTTTGGTTAATTACCATTTAGGTTTTTATTAAAATTCGGCAATTTCGAAATTAATTTGTTTTTAAAATACTGTAAAAAAACATATATTGCAATAATGATTAAATTTCGTTTTTTAACAATATGGCAATTATTACGATTGTTATACTAGACCTTGAAATTACATAATACAACGCTTGATGTTGTTATAATTATTTTTTATGGAAATCATTGACATCAATTATCTTATTTCCATATTTCATAATATTATGTTTTTACCAGATTTTATCATTAGATCATTTTCATACAAATACAATTTTCCATACAAATAATATTTATAATATTTTAACAGAAAAGACAAATGATATAGTTTTTAGAGTATTATGGTGAAAATCGCGAAAAACGTTCAGTCGATTTCATGTCGAAACATTAGTCACATTTTCATATATGACCATATATGCATCATTGAAAAAAAAAATCAAACTAGTGGTGCATGGCATCGTGCCTTAAGGCAAATTGCTGGATCTTTCCGTACCATAATATTTTAAATTTTTCCAAAATTATACTATTTTGAACTTACTATTAAAATCTCTATAAAATATCTGATGTGCATATGTCTAATGATTATTTTTGACCGACAAATGCCATAAAATTTAAATTTGCTTGCTAGTATCATATAAAACTTGTATTTAAAAAAGCAAACTTCTCATATTAAAGCCTAATAACAATATTTATGTTCAGCTAGTTAATGACTATGTACAGAACGAGCTCGTTATGTATTTTTAATGTTATTTCAGAAACGATTTCTCATAATGTCTAGTGCATGTAACTTCAACTTTAGCAGTGGTTTTATTATATAAAGAGAACATTTACTTCCTACACCGTAATTTTTGCATTTCGACTCTCGCTCTAGGATTGTTAGCTGCAGCGGCAACTTTCCACTTTCCCTAGATCAAGCTTGGAGCAACTTTTGCGGTTTTGTTGCTCGCTGGAACTGGTTCGCGGGATATAAATTATTTGAATTGACATCTAATTGAAAATTATGACGTAATAATAATAATTAAATTATAAATCTGACCGCAAGATGATTATGAACATGCAACAGATGTGTATTTGATATATTTTGTGCATTCTGCAACGGCTGCAGCAAGACTGGACAGAGAAATGGTGAATGATAAATTATTTTTTTGAAAAATATTTAAAAAAATGCTATTAAACAATAGTTATAATTTTAAAACAATATAATTTTAATAATTATCTATTATATAAAAATAAGTCGGGTTTTCCTTCCTGACGATATAACTTCAGAACGCACGAATCGATTTCGACGATTTTGCATTCGTTGGAAAGGTCTCGGACTCCGTGAGGTTTATAGCAAAGAAAATTGAAGAAAGATTTCAATAGAAAAGCTGAAAACACTTTTTCTTTTTTCACATACAGCGTCATCTCTGATACTTAGCATGTACTACAAACTAATATTATTTGTTTGGCTGATACTAATTTGTTTGAGAGCTACTCATTGTTCTCTGCTCAGTTAATTTCATATGACAAACCGTCATTGTGTTCACTGTGAAATTGTGCAAAAAAAGTAAAAAAATAAGTTCCTAACATTTCAATTGGAAACAAACAAATCAATGTATTGTGAAATCTGTGTGTTGTGCAAATTTTTATTCGATTTCAACAGTAGGCAATTTTTTCTTCATGTTTTAATCACCAAACGAAATCTGGTGGTGAAACGGAGTTTGCCTGGCTTGCTAGTATATAATATAATTATAATAATCTTTATATATATATATATATATATATATAAATAAATCATTTTAATTGTTAAATTTTGATTCATACTCCCGAAGAAGGTTGTACAAAAAACTCCGATTTGTCATAATTTCATGTTTTTTGGAAAAAGTATATGTGTGTATGTGTGTATGTGAGCCGATTTTTCACCTTTCGTAGACGTTCTTCCCTAAACAAACAGCTGAACTGATTTAAAAAAATTGAAAGCCATTCTATGTATCTCCATAAGGACTTTAGTCAGTTTTTTGCGACGATTTTGAAATCAGCAGAAAAGTGTAAACATTTTAGCCCACAATTTAGAAGCTATGTTAAAAATTCAAAAACTGTTCGAAAGATATTGGTTGCGATTCGTTGATTAGTTTTTGGTAAAGATTGGCCAGGCCGTTTCTTCTTAACTAAATGTTGAAAATTTATTCTTGTCTATTTTGATGAGACTTTGTATATTGATAGATTTTGTCTTAAATAACATACTAAAATATTATGAGCCTAAGGTAAGCGGTTGAATTATAAAAAGTCACCAAAGAAATCGCTTGTGGGTGATTCTAATCAGAATCTATGCCGAAGCCTATATACTTTCTGGAGTGTTTCGTAGGTAGCTACTGATTACAGTTTATGTCTTTAATGAAAGAAAATACATTTTTAGAACCAGAAATGAATGAAATAGAACGCGTTAAAACATTTTTTTGTTCAATTTATACAATTACAGATATTATATGTGTATTTGCAAAACTTCAATTGAAATAGTATTTATATTATTTATATATATATAATATATATATATATATATATATATCATATTATATTAATTTATAATATTCATAGTATCTGACATTCATAATTTCAATAAAATAAAATCATTCCTTGATTTTAGATTAAGCTTCCATTTTTATATGACTTCTTATTACAAACTACGTTTCCAGAAGGCAATTTTAAATGGTATTAGCTATGTTAATATTCCTGTCTGCAAAATTATACATCAACATAAATAATCGGAATAGCAAATGAATATGTTTTAATTTGTTTTGTGTCTGGGTGCACGTTGTTTTTTGCAAATATTGAATTTAAGTTGTTTTAAAATGCACTCGACTCAGCACTTTTGTTTTACCTGATGTATATTGATTTATATTTTGGAATTATTTGAAGGAAATATATTAGTATTCAAAAAAAAATTGGAGATCTGCCTACATTACAATTATTGGCTAATTTCGTAAAATATTCATTAAATATATTTGAATATTTTTAATATTTATATTGATGCTTTTTAAATTATAAAAAGTTGCATCTGATATATAACTTTTAATTTATTTTTACTACACAGTATTATTTCTTGGCAAAAGTTATGATTTTGTTATGGTTTGTTTTGATTTTTAAAAATCATTTTGAAGATATATAGTCAATATAAATATACAAGATAAAAAATTTACGGAATTTTTATATCTAAATATACAAATTTTTAAAATAAAATTATAATTTATTCATACACAAATGAATCATCGCTGCACAAAAAATCGTAAACTTAGCGACTCATATATTTGCATAAACGGATTTTAATGAATCTGAGACAATCAAATTGTTAGACAATGAATATTTATACAGTCTGAACGCATCCTAATATATATTAATGAAACCAATAAAAAATTTAGTCAATAGTCTGATTTGTTTTCTTATCACTGCATTTAACCGCATGTTAACAGTTGTTAGTTTATAAAACAAATGTAATATAAATCAAATTTATATTTGAATTGACTGATGACTATGTAAATTAGCCTTTGAAAAAATATTCAATGCAGTATTTATATTTATGGTTTTAATACAACTGCAGTGAACAACATTCTTTTTGAAATATAATAATAATTATTATTTTTGTAATAATAATTACAAATTATTAATTATTTCTACTATCATCAATTATTTATTATTTTTACATTGGGTTAAAAAATGCATTGATTTACGATGTCTGAGTTTTAATGGTATTATTCTGATGCGTATTGTTGTCTTTATTATTTATAAACATCATGAGAGGTAATTGTTTATTACTGTAACAATTTATTAATCTTACTAATGTTATCTTTGTAAGTAAAGCTGATATTGAATATTTGGGTTATTATCAAGGACGATTATTATCAACGTCAAGCTTCCAATCTTATATTAGATTGTATGATATTAATTCCACAAAAAACTAAATATTATTTGGTTAAGTGAAAAAAAAAATTATAAAACAACCCGACAACAACTAAATGATAAAACAAACTTTGTTTTGAATTATTTGTTATAAATATAATATAGTTTAGACCAGTCTGGTTAGAATCACATAAGATTCTTTTCCATGTCTTCAACGATGAGTCCTCATCTTTATTAGAAATTTTAACATTGGTAGTTCAGATTTCTAAAAAATAGTTTTGGAGTATAGTACAAGTCTCTCAAATACTAAAAATCTGTTTTGTGTTTACAACGTATTAATTTTCCAGACTTTTTCTGACTTTGAATAATCTGGTAATCACTCGAACATAGAGTTCAAAATTATAGTTTCCAATTGAATATAGGGAAATCATCGCACTGTATTAAATCGGTTTATGCCCTTGTTCTTGAACAAAGCATTCATTATTATTATTACTTAAAAATATAATTAATTTAATAAACAGTTTGCGTTTTAGCTCTTCAGATACCAAGCATATTCAATGCTAATAGCGTTAATGTAATTTGTGTACCTAAAAAAACTATTTGATAAAGGTATTTATTATTTGTTATGGCGTTTCAAATTGCAGAAAATCTACGGATATGTAGCCCAATTAGTATCGTTCTAGTTATAAATATTATTCTTATTTACTCATTTGTTTTCTATTATTATGTATAGTTCCTTTATTTGAAGTTCTAACCGCGATGGACGTTTCAACCTCGATTTAAAAATATCTATTGTTACTAGTAATAAAAAACTATTCTATTAAATTTGCATTTAAAATACACTATATCATTAATATGAAGAAATAACATGACTAATAAAACAATTATAATTTGCGGTGACTCATATATCGTAGAAACAACAGTCATATATTCTGCTCTATAACTTATAAAAAAATCTCTTTGATAAAAATGCAATTGCTTACTAACATGCAATAATTCAATATTCTTAGAAGATTACTATTTGATATTTGCTTCTGACGTCTTTTATTTGTGACCAAATTATTATATCATAGTCTAGGATTATGCCAAATTTAGATGATTTGATCTCAACGGCCTTGTTGATAATGAAAGCCATATTTATGCCTTATCTTTCAAATACTTAATATTAATTAATTTTATAAATACGATATATTAAATGATTTATCTATATAAATGTCTTATGAGTAAATATTTTATTTGCTAAATTCAATTGGGATCTTAAATTTTAGAGCATGTATGTTGTCTATAGATTCCGAATAAAATAAATTAACAATTAGCCATAAGTAGATCAAGTTAAGCAGAGTTGTACGAATTTGTTAATTCTTCTAAAAATAATCAATAATCATATTTTTATGATTTTTCTTTAAATATTCAATAGCTATAATTGAAGTTATAATTAAGGAATGGCAATTTCTTTAAATTTTTAGATAGATAAGTTTTTATTGTTTAAAGTCATGAGTCACTCCCATAAACTTTTTAAAGTTATGAGGAAACTGATAAATTTAATCATTTTATTGCTCAATAATCTACTTCTTTGCTATCTGTAATAATATGCAGAAACTCTATAAAAATTCATTAACCTTCGATGCTAAAAAATATAGTTTTATTTTTAGTTATAATTTTTTTAACGAACAAATTCAACAAAAAAGAAAACAATCCTAAAATTGACACTTTTGGATTGCAAGAGCAGCACATTAGTAAATATTCTATTAAAAATTTGAATCAAATTTCTTCAATAATTTTTTTTTATCATAATAAATAAAGAAATAAATAACGAATGATTTTAAAATTATAAATATAACTACTGAACTTTCAGCTAACGCGTAAGACTCTTGTTTTTGTACGTCATCTCTATCTGTTGTTGTATATTGGAAATAAAAACAATTGTACAATTTTTCAAATCTTACAATAAATTATTGATCCATAAAGTTTTATTATTTTTACAAATGTAATGATTGTTGATGAAAGCAAAAAAAAAGTAATGAGAAATCTGTCAAGAATTTTATTGTCAATGAATTTATAAGCATATTTCATTAATATTATTTTTCTAATTTTGTTTTTCTGATGCAGGTTAGAGTTGTTAATTAAAAATATTCTCAACTAGTAGGGTGAAAAAATGAATAGACATAATTTGATAAAATTTAAAATAATAAAAATTGATTTGTAGTACTCTTAAATAATATTTATAATGAACCAATGTTATGTTATTATTCTATAATATCTCATAGGAGAATGAGTCCAAAACAATAACATCTTCTTATCCCAAGTATTATGATATAAATTTTAAAAATGTTTTTAAAATACATTTTCATTTTTTAGGTCAGAAAAGTATTTTGCGAGGAGTAAGCGGATGCTTTCGATCTGGGGAGTTGACAGCTATCATGGGAATATCTGGAGCGGGAAAAAGTACTTTGCTAAACATATTGGCTGGATACAAGTATGTACCGTAGAAAATTGAAATCACATTTTTGCCTCAAGCAAATACATTTATATTTATGTTTATCATATATAAAGATATATATATATATATATATATATATATATATATTTATATATATATATACCCATGTAGAAATTAATATAGTCTGAATCTACAAGCAATATAAAATCTACATTGGTCAAATTTGAAACCAATATCGGCTGGTCATAAAAATTGAACATTTTTTATATTGAGGCCATATAGGTAAACCAACATTGGTCTATATTGGTCTATATTTGGAAATTTGGAACCAATGTTGCCTACAAATTGTTGAATGTTGGTAAGGTAATATACAATTAGACAGAGAGCTGGTAAACATTTAGAATTATTAATTATTGAATTATTCTGAAACTTATAACTGATGTTGAAATATCATCATATGTCATTTATTTAACAATAAAACACCTGAAATTTATTTATTTATTTATTTATTTATTTATCTCTGAAATTAACATATACGTAAATTTATTAAGAATGTTTTTGTGGAAATTCATTTATTAAATATAAACAATGATACAAATATATAACTGCATTAAAAATATGATTATTTATAAAACACAAAAGTGTCATAAATATTGATTATTTTTTTAATAGATATTTATTAATACATATCAAGTAAACTTTTTTTATAACAATAACAAAAGCAAATAAACTTTCCTATTTATAACATCACTCGATAAAACATTTCACAGCATCTGAACATATTTTATTTGTTGTTAATATATTATAATGGACAAGGCCATTTATAGAGATTATTGCCTCAATATCGGCTGACGTTGGCCTGGTCGATTAGTTGACATCATCACAGAACCGACGTTCGCCTATATTTGTGCAATATAGGCAATCACGGCCACAGAAAACCGATATTGGTAATATATTGTACCGATATTAATTTTTACATGGGTATATATATATATATATATATATATATATATATATTAATTTTGAAATATGAACAGTAACACTCTTTTTTGCACTAATTTATTAAATAATAATTTTACAAACGTTTCGAGACTGGATTTGTCTCATCATCAGTGTGTTATAATTTCAAATCTAAAATATCTAAATCTAAATTAGCATTATGTGTTATCCGTTACAAGTCATTTCTTTTACTGCATTACCAACGATCGTTGGAGTCTGAATTTTCTATCCAAGGTCAACTAGGTGAGTCATGAAATATCAAAAAGGTAAAAAAAGGAATAGGGCCCAGTTGAAAAATAGATGTCGTAAGAAGTAAAAAAGTATTATTATATATATCGCTAGAAAAAAAGTATAATTATATATATATATATATATATATATATATATATATATAACATGGTGTAACAGAACTCGTCATTAAGCCGAAATAGGGTGACAGGATTGATTGTAGTATCGCAGGAATGCTACCACCCTAGAATTCTAAACCAATGCTGTTTTTTATGTTCACAAGTTTGAATGTTAATTCTATACTTGTTACTCAGATGATGTTTGAGATATTACTGATTTACAGAGTTTTTCTATATTTTAAAGTTATTTTTCTGATTGGTTTTGTGGATCTAAGCGACATCCCATTACATTTTTGTCCAATCAGTTGTTGACCTGAGATTTGTTTGAATCGGGTTCAAAGAAAAATAGTTTTTTAGAAAAAAGTATTAATGTTTGAGGGTTTGCAAATACAATGAAGGATGAGGTTTTATAATTCTTATCGTGTATTAAAATATATTTGAATGATTTAGAACCGGGTTGAGCCTTAGGCGTTAACACTGTTTGAAATCTATGAGCATTTAGTAAAAGTTAGAGCTTTGTGCTATAGAGCTGTGACCATTTTTGCTGATTGTGTAATTAATTTTTTTTAAATTTTAATCATTTGAACTTTAGAACCGTAACGATGGCTTCTACTAATATTACAGTAAAAATAATAATACAATTACCCTAGGTTTCCTAAGATTAAAACTATATGTTAAACAGTGAATTTGCAATTTTAAAAATTTGTTGAATTAAAAAGTACTTAACTTGATTGAATAGATTTGGATGTCCAATATCATCAAGTGCAATTTTATTTTTTTTATTCAATAATGAATTTCAAATGATTTAAATAACAAAATGAATATAAATCATTTTACTAATCTTTCTTATATAATTAGCCAGTTTATTATCCTCTATAACAAACCTACTATAATTTTTCAATTGCATCCTGTTCAGTTGGTAATTATTTAATCACATAAGTTTCTATTTCATTAACATCATAAAACCATTAAAGCTTGTCTAATTCTAAATTAGATTTAAGATAATTTAAAATTCTCGCAATTAGATTCTTTCACAATTGTAAAAACACATTTCCGCATTTTCAACGCTTAAATATATATTATTACCTTAGAATTGGCAATAAAACAAATTAACACCATAAAATATAAATATATACATAAGAAATTATACTTTATGCATAAAACATATATTGACGCATGCAGAAAACACTTTGACTGCCAAGTGAGACATAGCTAGACGATTATATGTTTTTTATAAATACATAAATTCTTCTTCACAAATACATAAAATACTGTTTTCAAACGATCACAAATTAGATTTTCCAAATTTTTAAAGAGCCTTACTTAAAATTTTATTTTCTTCACTATATTTTACTTCTTATTTACCTATACATCTTCAATTAACACTTGATTTATATTCCAACCAAGTTTTTTTCTATTGCTTGTTTATTTAATATTTATTTCTGAATTGAATTATAGAGTTAATTATAGTACATATTGAACTAGTTATGTAATTATGAAATTACGTCAATTACAACTACTTCATATATATTCAGTAAGAAACAGTACTTATATAGAAGGCGAAAGGGTCAGAGGAATATGCTTATTGATGATTATATAATACTAAAAACTTTTAAATTCAAATTTAAACAAAGCTCAATTTTAATGTATTATATTCTATAAACAAAACGATTAAGTCAAAGAAGCCGTTTGGGTGTGATGCAAATCTCATTCATAATGCAACAAATATAATGAAAGTGATTGGAAATATCATACGATGGTTGATGTTGGCATTTTGTAGTTTTCTTTTGCGGTTTTTATTGAAATACTAAAAAAAGCTATAGTGGAAATTAGATACCTATTTGTTGGAAATATAAGATCCCAAAAAGATTTTTTTCTTACAATATATATATAATATATTACTCAATTTGAATTCAAAATTATGAATCATATATTCATATTTTTGAACAAATTTCCGGCAGCATTCGAAGTGTTAATATAATATTTTCGTTTGAGGGACGTTCGCCAAATTATCTTGAAAATGTGCGATATTTTTTACTTTATTATTTCTAACAATACAATATTAAAGTGCCCAACAATAGGTGTCATATTCTTATGCTAATCTGGCATGTGGGTCATGGACCTTCTGCACTCTGTGGAGCATAGAATTGATTGATTATGCCATATATATGACTAGAATAATATTATATTTATTCCCGTTGGTATAAAATACAAGCTATAAAATTGAGTTTCTAAATCTATAAAATGTTTAATGTTATTAATGTTTTCACTTACATTGACTTCATTTGAAGGTTTCCGCAAAGTACTCGCGAAATGAGTATGTATTCATACACAATATATATATATATATATATATATATATATATATATATAGATGTTTTTTAATTTCCTCTACAAAAGTGAATATTGAAAACGCGAAAATTTATTATTAATATGAATAAAACACGTTGCAATCACAAATACAATGTACAAAAAGAATCGAATTTAAATGTTGCCAATTTTGTATTTAATAAATTTTCCCTAAAAAATAGATTTTGCAAGTGAAATTATTTACCTGTGTTTTTAAGGGTTTGTATTAACTCCTTGAAGCTTATAGGAAAATATGCCTGATTTTCAATTTAAAATATTGCTTAGGCCTTGTTGATTTCTAAATAAGCTATATTGAACTTTTATCAAAATCTCTATATTTTTTCTGTTGCTAAATAATACAATTATATTTCTTAACCGTAGTTGTTACTAATTACTTTAATATATAAAATGAAACTAAGTGGATGTTTCTTTCTCTTTGCTAATATATAAATAGCTTTATTTCTTCATTTTGTAGCGATTATGTGCAATTTTCGAGTTAGAGTAATTTGTTCGCGTATTTTCTACTGAAACGCATAGATAATACATAACCATGAACATTTTACGTAACATAATGCAAGTAAATTTCCAACTACTCCAGTGCATTCACCAATAATTATGTTAATAATAAATGCATTTCAACATTCTATATAAACTAGACATTTACAACATGAAAAAAGAGGAATCATAACATATCGTGTAATTTACTATTTCATTTCACGTCGCGAATAAAAGTTTCGGTTGAATAATTTCAAAATAATATTGTGATACGAAATTGAGCAACGGACCGTCAATGAAACTTTTCCATAGTTCAGAGTTTACCGGTCTCCATATGAGTTTTAATAAAATTTTACAATGATTTATTTCAAATGTTTTGTTGCGAAAACATATATCACCTACATTGCCATATATGCGAAATGGGTTATCGTAGAAATTAATCTCAAAGTGCTGGAAAGATTCAGCCAAAACTCATTTGCACAATGTCAACCTTTCAACGCATATTCGTATGGGTGCGAAAATACATTCACGATTTGCAATCAGATTTGCAAACTGATGAAAAGATAGTACGAGGGTGACAAGAGTACAAATCACTTCTATACTGAGGGTTTATAATATTATATTTGAGAAATTGGTATTTCCTTGTAGGACAACTTACTAACATAAAATTGACTCAAATCTTATAAAGTTTTTCAGATCTTGTCATTCGGACATAATCTAGTAAAACGAAATCAATTAATTAGGGATGTAAAATGTATTTTGGTGTTCAAACGTTTTGTGAACAACAGATTTGGATTGTTTAAAAAGAATTTGTATAAGTTGCGTAAAAAACTATTTGTTCGTTGTTCAAGAAATAGTACTAACAAGGAAAATCCTTCTATTGCTCGTCTGGGATTTTGATGAAACTTGGCACTATGATAGATGCTGATAGGTGCCTTAACTTATAATAATGAAAATTTTTAATTAATCTTTTTTTATAACTGTTTTCATGCTGACTACGCTAGTAAGTCAGCATAAGCACATTTTTCTCAAAATCTTCAATATGACTATTTTTTTTAAATGTCAAATGCCAATTGAATATGTAGAGTTTCATGCCAATGTGCAATGTGTTTAAAATTTATTTACTAGAACTTACCATTTTTATTTTATTTTAGAAACGTCTAAATCTTTAAATACAGGTCATCAAGATTTTTGGTAGTGATACTTAATATAGTAAGACATTTCGCTTCTTCAAATAACTACATTTTTTAATTTTTAATTTTCAGAATTGTACGTTTTGGAAACCTCTATTGTTCAAATATACTAATATCTAAATCTTTTTTAAAAAATTGATTTCAAAAAATTTAATTAAATTTTCTTTTTCAATTAAGTAAATTTTAATATTAGTAATATATTTTTTCATTTAAAAATTAAAAAAAAAAAAGATTTTCTAAAATGAATGAATCCATTTGTGTGAAAATTTTTCAGTATTCTCTCTTTTATTATTATAATTCAACATCAGTAATCGACTTGTTTATGTTCACTTTTTTTAAACATGATTTTTTATAATAATAATTGTCTAGGAACTTATCCAATTAATCTTGAATGTTTGTCATAATTCATTCTGCATAATTTTATCCAAGCTTGTTTTACAATGAATCGTCGAGAAAATGTGTTTTATATTGATGACCTGTTTTGTTTATTGATAAATGATTATGACAAATTATTGTCACAGTAATTTATATATCCGGATGGTATATGAAGTAAATTATAAAAAAAATTTATCAATTAGGTTGTAATATAAAACTGTTAATTAAGATTTAAATGCAATTATGTAAATAATAATTTTATTTTAAGAAATGCTTTACATTTAATTCACTCTCTCATTTATGGTGGTCGTGAATAACTGTTCTATAATATGCGATTTGACTAACAAATGTGATGAATAATGATACGAATCGTTAAAATTTTTATAATAGCATGTATTTCAAAAATCATTTCCAATAACTAAATTTACCTTCTAAATTTTCTTATGTTCTTTAACTTAATCGAATCGTTTGAATCGATTTCTACCTTCATTTGAGGGGAGAAATTCTTACTTTTCTGTTCTATACAGTCCATTTATATGAAATATTATTTGAAAGAATTTATTATAGGTATAAATAAAAATTATATATATAAATAAAAAAATGACTTTAAAAGAATGCCAAATTTCCAAAAAAATCAAATTCAAGGCTTGAACGATTAAAGCTTTAACATTGCAAAATTTGGTTTGACTGATACTGTGTCAATTTTTTGTATCGAAAAAAACTATAAATGATAATAATATAATATTCAAAAACATGTTTCATATGTAATATTCATGGAAATCTATTTCTTTCAGGGCATACGAAGCTACTGGTTCCATTCTTGTCAATGGATCTCCTCGAGATATTCGATTATTTCGCAAAATGTCTCGGTATATCATGCAAGAAGATTTACTACAGCCGCGACTCACAGTTGCAGAAGCTATGAAAATTTCAGCTGATCTCAAATTGGGCAACGAAATTAGTACTGAACAGAAGGAACACTTAGTAAGTAGAATAATTTTGTATTAATTATTTTTATACTTTAATACAATTATTGCTATATTGAAGAACATGAAATATTAAAAAACTTTTAGTAATCTAAACAATAGGAACTTGTAATTCATAATTAAATAATGTAAAAAATTCAGCCAAAAATTTAATCATTAGGCACTGATATGCAATGATAAATCTGTTTTATTTCATTCAAAAATTTTAATCATTAGCTATAAAGCACGTATGGTACAGAAATTTTTATATGCATGTTGAACTTAAAATAATATTAGCTTTATATAGCAGGTCGACTTGAATCCTTAACCTTAATGTGTTATATTTATATATTATCTAAGGATGGATAATTAATTGTCGAAAGATGCATCATCTTCAATGCAAATGAAATATTATTGCGAGTCATTCAACTCGCTCTGAAGAGTTTTGTAACAACTTACTAATCAGATTCCACAAAGTCCATTTATCATCTGAGCTTCGAATCGATGAAAACTCTTAGCGAAAACTCTACACCAAGACGCTTAAATATAATATTGCAAGATATTATCGGATAACTTGGTTCAAAAGTTTCTAGATTAGGGGAAGTTTATAAAGGGATTGTAGAGGAGTGTCACAAATATTTCAGATTTTCATTGAGAAGAATTTGTTTTGAGTAA